CAGGAGCCCCACCAAGAGGGGGCAGAAAACTCCCTTCTCACTCACTGAACCACACTGAGAAACCTGGCCAACCGAGAGCTGGGGAACGCCCCTCCTCGGAGCGGGGGGCTAAGGTGCACACCTGCACAGTCAGGTCTGGAGGGGAGGGGCTGGCGATCGACACCAGGAACTCATTTAAAATGTCCTCAAACCCAAGACAGGCCCACAGGGCAGCCAGAGCCTGTTGGGACGGAGTGTGGGTAAAGGCAGCCAGGCTTCCTCTCTGAGCCGCAGACTGAGGCCCGGCTGCGTCGCCTCGGCTGATCCTACCCTACCCCGGAGGGCAGGTTCCTTCACTTTGTCTATTTCAGAAGTGAGGGAACGGCGACTAAGAGTTAGCACTTTATCCAAGTCAGGAAGCGAGGACCAAGATCAGGACCCGGAGCCAGGCTGGGCTCAATTCCCAACAGGAGACACTCCGAAGCATGCTGAACAAGCCTCCCGCTGCGTTCTAGGAAACCAGGTGGCGGGGGGCCCCTCCGGCTGCCCCCCCTGCGCCTGAATCTGCAGGGCCAGAGCACAGCCCGCGGGGGCACCGCCTGGGCAGGGGAGAAGGGAAACCGCAAAGGGCCTGCAGCCTGCCCTGCGGTCGGAGCCACGCCTGCCGGCCTGGACGTGCAGCACTGGCCATCAGACACAGCACTTTGGAGTCGCAGCGACGCCCCCAGGCAGCTCCCAGTTCCGAGCGCGCCCTCTCCGCCCGGCTGGGTCAGCTCCTGCACGCGCGCACACACACCCCCGGCTTTCTGCACGGCCTTCCCGAGCGCTGCAGGCCCGCCCACATACACCTCGGTCCCGGCACGCAGGGTGAACCGGGCAGGCCGTCACCTGGGTGAGGAGCACGAACTGCGCGAACTGCCAGGGTAGCGTGAAGAACACGTTGGCCGCACAGAGCGCCACCAGGCTTCCTCTGTGGAGCTGGGCCGCCCTGGAAGAGAGGAGGGAGGTCAGCGAGTGCCACCCCAACGTCAGCACGGCGCCGCCCGCCGGAGGGAGCCCCGTGAGAACACGAGCTGACATGAGACGCCACGCTTGGGGACGGACTGCAGACACCTCTCGCCAGGGGGAGGGCCGGGCGCGGTGTGTCCTCGGGTGTCCACACTCCATTTCAGTGGGGACTGAGCGGACGTTCAGGTTGAGTAGATCGGGAGGTGAGGGGACAGCAGCGGCCCCAAGGCCACGACATAGAGACCAGTGCTGCGGAGCCCAGAGCGAGGACCGGCCGTGGACATGGACAGACCTGGTCCCGCCAACCAGCGCGGCCCCGCTAAGGAGCAGGCCGAGGGCCCAGGCTGGCGGCCCCTCTGCGGGCCTCACGCGGGGGCCACCAGAGCTGGGAGTCAGGAGGCCCGGGAGCTTTTCTCTCCTCTCCTGATCCAAGAGCCCACGCGAAGGCCAGGCATGTGCGGCACATGGGACACACAGCGGGGACAAGCACGAGGCCGGTGCAGGGAGGCAGCCACCCGGGGTGAGCCTGGCCGGAGGAGCCCCAGCACGAGTGCCTCTGTTCAAGGACTCCTTCTCCGGAGGACCGGCCGCACCCCGGCCCATCCATGCACTGAGCTCTGTCCCGGTCAGTGAGCACCCGAACCCATCCCCAGACAAGCCCAGGGCCCATACGGAGAGATGCAGAGACGCGCCCTCCCGGCAGGGCTGAGCTGTGGGCTGCCGTCGGGGCCGTGAGCGCGTGTGACACGAGCAGGTAGGCAGGGCTACAAGGCACCCCTCACAGCCGGTGTCCTCTCATGGGGACGCGTCTGCAAGCCGCTGCCTCCCCCACTCCCCTGGACACAGACACGAGGCCAGTGGAGGGCGGTGGAGGACGGAGGTGGAGGGCGGAGGTGGAGGAGGGAGGTGGAGGAGGGTGGTGGAGGAGGGAGGTGGAGGTGGGAGGTGGAGGAGGGCCGTGGAGGACAGGAGGTGGAGGAGGGCCGTGGAGGACAGGAGGTGGAGGGGGGCCGTGGAGGACAGGGCTGAATCCTAGCCTACTTCTCAGGCCAGGCACCACACCCAGGCTCCTGGCTGGCTGGGAACAGGGTGGGAGGAGGGACGGTGGCTGAGACTTTGCTGAGAGTGCCTGTATCTCTGTCTCTCTGTCTCTCACTCTCACATTCTTGCTCTCGCTCTTCCCTGACTCTCAGGAAAGAAACTAAGAAAGAGAAAAAGACTGCAGCTTCCAAGAAAGCAGCTGTCAGCCCAGGGAAGCTGGACACAGCACCCCTTCCACGAGCACGCTGACCGGAAACGAGAGCAGAAAAGCTGCCCCGGCAGGAGGCGACGACGCGGTGCCCTGAGAAGCTGAGGGGCCCAAGGAGGACGAGTGTGAGCCGGGCAAGCGAGGCCGCTGCTCCCGCTCGGGGAGGCCAGGACAGAGTGGAGAAGGCCCTGGAGAACGCCAGGTCCTCCAGCAGTTTTCAGCAAGGACAGAAGGCAAGAAGGAAGTGGCAGATGGGACAGAAGACCATGTTACCGGGAGGCTGACGAAAGCCTAAGGCACCCATGACAGAAGCACTTGAAGCCAGAAAAGAACCCAGCAGGACGCAGTCGGATAAGGCGGAGGGCCCGCCACCGTGGCCCAAGGATGAGGCAGAGCACGGCCTCCCACGGCGCTGGCGCCCCGGCCCTGGAACCTGGCCGCGCATCCTGCCACCTGGAGAGGGAGAGGGGGGCGCAGGCTGCAGACAGAACCGAGCCCCGACAGCGGCCTCCAGTGAGGGTCTCCTGGCCCATTCCGGTGGGCCCACTCATCGCAGGGTCCCTGCAGGGGGAGGGGCCAAGGAGAAGGGGGATGAAGTGACTAGAGGACCCGACCGCACGGCTGCCTGGAAAGACAGAGTTGCCAGGAGCCAAGAAGTGCTGGTGTCCCTGGCGGCTGGAAAGGCTGGACATGGCTCCCCTCCAGCCCCGAGAGTGGGCCATCCGCCACCTCGACCTCCGGGCTTCCACCCCTGAACTGTGAGCTCAGATCCAAGCTGGTGATTACTGGCACTGAAGCAGCTCCACGTTGTGCAGCCGGGGTGCAGCAGAAGCAGCAGGCCCAGCCAGCGGGCAGCCACCGACGGCCAGTCACAGCCACGCACGTCGGAGCAGCTAGTGAGCAAGTGGGGAAAGGGAGCTCAGGCTAGTCCTGCCTGGATGGAAGACAGAGAGGGAGACCCGCACAGGAACGAAGGCTGTTGGCCATGCCGGTCTGCACCGCACCGGACAAAACGCCAGAGCAGGGAAAGGACTAAGAGCAGCAGACAGGAGCCCGGCGGACAGGGGACCGGCAGACAGGGGACCAGTGGACAGGGGACCAGCAGACAGGGGACCAGTGGACAGGGGACCAGCAGACAGGGGACCAGTGGACAGGGGACCAGCAGACAGGGGACCAGTGGACAGGGGACCAGCAGACAGGGGACCAGTGGACAGGGGACCAGCAGACAGGGGACCAGTGGACAGGGGACCAGCAGACAGGGGACCAGTGGACAGGGGACCAGCAGACAGGGGACCGGTGGACAGGGGCCGGGCGGACAGGGG